TATATATATATATATATATATATATATATCGTATGTACTCGGACGATAATTTCGTCGAGAGTTTTCTTTCCCCTTTTCGCGGTATTTGTCTTGCTGTTTCAAATTAGGATTGTTAAACTGCGTTCGCAGTCGCAACACAAAGAGAAATTGAAGAAAACGTTGCATTGCGGCTGCCTGCCGCGATTGGTCAACTCGCTTACGTAAGACACAATGTATATGTGTCTCCAATTGAAATCGCCAGGCCGGAAATTAATAACGTGTGATTAGCCGTTGTGTGAAATAGCGACAGAATTACCTGCGTAATCACGCCCGCGCCAGTTGCGCCTGGCGCGTATGGTATTATTTCTTTTTTCGACGGTCGAGATATTCGGCTCGGGCAATTTTATGTACACTGGGCGTTTTCTTACCGCCGAAAAACCGTGGCAGGAAGTACGACGAAATAACGGGACGGTGCCGACGTGCTCGACCACGCCGTGTAACGAGCACGTTAGCGATAAACGTGGTGAAAGTTTTACTCGCGCGAGCGGTCCCGCCGAACAAAATGATACAATTTCTCTTGTTTTCCTTACGTAAGGTATACGCGCGTATTCAAGAATGCATTCAAAGACAATTGTGCCTTGGAATCGACAGGCACAATTTTCTAGGTACATTTCCTAGACCCGGCTATGCCGGGAACAGCGCGAGACATAAATTCCTTAGAAGAGAGCGCGAAGAGAGAAGGGGCGAATCAAGCCGAATAACTCGACTTGTTACACTTTTGCCGCTTGATAGTTCGCGCGTTCCCGATAGTTTTCCGATCTCCCGACTTTGCGCGTATAATAAACGACGCTCGATTCGGGACGGATCGATATATATCTGCCCGGCGATTTGTCGGATATGAAACTGCGGGTATTGTTTCTAACGCGCTTTGTGTAGCGTCGGTGAACGATGAGCTGGAAACGAATCCAGCGTTTGACGTTGGATGAAATCATCTCGCCGTTCCTATAAATTTTACGCCAGTTTAGCCGCGGAATGATAATTGCCCGCCGGGCACGACGATACGTTCCAATAAGCATCCAGCTCTCCTCTCCGATGGTGCAATAATTGAACGGGATCGAGGGATTATTTCCTCAGATAATACACTCACCTTGCACACAATCGAGGTGCGAGATGCAAGGTTGAATGGCGCGGGGCAAAGAGCTTATTTTACACAACATGCTTACGCAACTGTCAGGTCCTTCTCCTTTCTGGTTACTTAGCTTAATTAATTATTAATTTTGGAGCGTTTTCCATTGCAGTTAATTTGCCATGAATTTTACTTCAAGATATATTTCTCTCGCTTTCGGAAGGCCGCTTTCATCAAGTTTCACATTTTGCGAGGTACGTCGAGGTGAGCTACGAGCCATTGTTTTCGCGTGCGTCATTATTTTATATCTCAAGGATTATATATTAGATACCAAATATCAAATACACGTGGACAATGATTCTTATGCTAAGAATTAGTAATACGACGTTTAATCGAACCCCCTTCTCGCACATTTATAGCACCAAAAATTGAACTCTGATATTAAAATTCTTGTTTTACCTGAACGAAATCCTACTTTCCGTTCTACTAGCGTTATTAGAAGAATAATCAGAGAAACGATACATCTCGGACCAAATAGGACGACTGTTAAAACTTGACGTATTTGCGCGGACACGGAGATTTTATTCAAGCACGAAAGACAGTTCTCGAATCTAATCGTCGATAATCAATTCTAGCGCTCGACAATTCGCGATCGTAGCAAAAACAACGTTCCTAAAGAGCGAATAAAATTGTATCTTTTTTTTCTTCCGACCGTGAAAGTATCCGTGCCGACCGAATAATTACAATCTTTTTTTCCATTCCCGCAGCAAATCGTTGGAAATTTTTTCGGTTTTGTTCACTACTTTCTCCACTATTCTTGTAGGCTTTTCTATATCGCCTCTTATTAGAAATTTAATAAGAAATATATATATATATATATATATATATATCACTTTATCATTTTTTATCAGAAATTGAACCAGAAATAATTATCAGTCGAGCGAAATAATCAAGCAGTCGAGCGATAATGATGGTGAGTCGATTAAGAAAAGTAGTATGTGGTGCAGAATGATATTACAACCGATTATGAAAGTAATTTAACTGAGGTGCTAATCGTGCTGGCTAATCGTTTCTCCGAGCAGCTGGAAAATCTCCAAGGATTTCTGAAACCGAATACTTCCTAGAGCACGTACGCGCGTTTTACAATCAGTGAAAGGTTTTAAAGGCAGAAATAAAATATCTTGAAAGTAAGACAAATCTCCGATATAAATTCAAGAAGCAACAATCTACGCATTACTGTAATAACGTTGAGTAATTCGATCGCGATAGCGGCCTACATCGAGAAAGCTACGTCCCAGACTACGGCAAAGAACAAGGAGCCGAGTAAAGTGTAACCGAGAGAATACGGAGGGATGTTATCAAACCGGTTTCGCGAAACAGATGTATTCGCGCGATAAACGAATTATTTACACAAGCGAAGCGGGCACGATATGTAGGATATACCGGACAACAGGAGTTGGCGCGACGCGACGTCCGGTAATCTCGCCCGGCGTTACCGTTCGCCCAGCTGCGGCAGAAGTACAATATAACGCGATATAACGGGCAAGTCCCTTCTTCTTTCCCGGACCAAACGCGCGCTCTCTCTCTCGAGCGAGATCTACGCCGCTTCGCCGATTCACGTCGCGGCACCGTGGGTGTGGCTCTCCGGCATCGGCATGGTGAACAGGTTCTCTTAAAAAGTGCAAGTGCAATCATTGCCCTGGTGAACGTGCTCGGCGCTCGGCCGACGCTCGATGAAGCGGAGCGTGCGACTCTCCACGTGGGGAGCCGGCCGACCTGTCAAGCGACGCCGACCCGCCGACGCGACGGTTCTCACCAGCCGGGGCGCCGCGCCGCACGCCTTCGGTGGTACTTACCGAATCGCGCACCCTGACATTTCACGTAGACGTCATCGTCGCGGAGTATTTTGTACGCGTGCGATTTTTTCCACGCCAACTAGCAATTTTCCTCTCTTGCAGTGACGCAATTCACGCGACGGTGCTACTTGCCGCTGAATTATGATATCGTTAAGTTTACTGGCTAGTTAGTTAACTTAGCGATATCGTAAAGCGTAATTCGTAAAGTTAGAGTGGAAAACTTTTCCATCGTCGAAATTTTGTAGATATTTCCGTATTCGAGTTTACCGATAAATTTTTATCCAGGAAACCGCGGGACGACTTGTGTACATCTCGCTCGTTTAATTGCGTCCTGTGTGAACGCTTATCATTTTCACTTCCTGTACATATCTCGCGAAGGCGCAGAAAGTCCAAGTAAATATGCTTAATTTTCGAGAAAGTCACAGACTCGATCGAGTCTTTCATTGCGGTCGGAGAATAATCGAAAACGCGCGGTTTCCCCTTAATCGTAATCGGTAAGAAGAACGTCTTCGAAATTTCCGCCAGGAAGTTTGAAAGAACAGGAAATGGCAAGCAGAGTTCGATGACTTTTTTTTCTCAACGTTTCTGATCACTTTGAGATATTTAAATTCGGGAAAGTATCGTCTTGGACAATTTTTAATGAGCGGCAATCGAAAAGATTCGACAAGTTTCGAACTTTAACGGGAAAATAAATCCTCTTTATACGTAAAAACTCTGCTGATTCGAATTGAAGAACTACTTGCAAATTTCGTATCGAGCGTAAAATATCGCGCGAGTATAATAGAATGATGGATCATCTATGCCGTTCTATTGCAAATCGTGGGCGAGCCCGTTGAAATAGAACAAGGCAGATTTGTTATTCATCGACCATTGTGGAGTTTCTAAGTTCTAATTAATGAATGTCTGGCTAAAACGCGAAAGGCCATCCATCAATCGCGCCTGCGCTTGAATTTGGACGTCATGTAAAATTCTCCCATTCGGAGCAATGTCGCGGCAAAGTGCAGCACAAAGTTAAAATGAGCTCGCATATAGAACGACGCGACATGCGACAGCCGATTTTTTGTCACATCGATAAAAAGCATAGGCCGGTCTTGTGTCATGTCGGTCTAGACGGACGATCTGGGACGATCTATGAGTCGCGTCGCGTAGATCTACCATAAGTACTACCGTATGTAGATCTCGCGAGTGTATGAAGACGAAACGGCGGCGAAGTAGGACGAGGAGAATTTATTGTCGCAGACTCCGCGCATACGAGACCGGAACGAATAATTCGAATGCAAACAGGGATTCATAAATAGTCGCCGATACAGTTATGTCCGCGCAGAAAGTATCTAAAGAGAAATATATAAGAAGTAGCGTCTCTCCATGAAGAAATAGACGAATGTCTGAGAGGGAATATTTGTATGGATGGAAAGTATAAAAACGCTGCAGTGTATATGTAATATGTATATGTTCATTATGATATATATCATTAGAGCGTATATAATATGCGTAACGTTGTATCCCGTTACAGATATTTATGAAAGTAATTATGCGTATTAGATTTCTCATTATTGAAACTAGTAACTCGCGTATTGGATATTACACTGGCAAGTTTTTAATTAACCTTTATATTGTTCTGCTCACGATGAAAAATTTATGGCGTTGCAATATCACGATATATTACGTCTACGATAAAACGAAGGAGCCCGCTCGTAAATAAAGGAATTGAGTTGTAAGAGGGCGAAATCGATGACGCGTGCGGCGTGCTAGCCGATTTCACTTAGCCTATTAATTAGTATTCGCAATCGTGCGCGGGCAGCAATGGGATCAACGTACGATCGAAAGTTTCTTTCTTCCTCTTTCCCGATGTCTATTCGCTTTCTTTCACGTCGTAAGGGATAAATGCCGTTTCAAATCTCGAGATATATTTTTCACGACGCGGGGATTCCTAGAAAGCGATCGATTCGAGATTATTGGAAAACCGCTCAGCAAAGCGCTGATCCTCAATCATATCGCCGCGCGCCCGCGCCGTGTTAAATCACGCATAACAGACAACGGCGATGGTCAAGCTACGAGGTATCGCGCTATCGGAACTTAGAAAGTCGAGGAAACGTTGCCGGTTGCATGCGAACTGGTCGACTCCCACGCCATACTTACGGGCACTTGCTGTTCTTACGTAAATACTCGCGGGGCGCGTTATCGCTCGCCGATCGTCGATCGGCTCGGGCGAGGAAGGCGGAGGTGCAATTAAATTCACACCAGAACGAAAGTGAGAGCGCGTGGTCAAGGCCCGGAGGGGGACCGCCCCTCCCCCCCCGGGATATTGTCTAAGTGTATCCTTAAATAATTTCAACGACTTTCGAGCGTATAAATACTTTATTGTTAGATCGATTATTTTAGTTCTCTTTGAAAGAGCTTGAACGGCAACGTCATCATTCTTTCTTTCTTCGCTCCTCTTGTGCGCGCATTACAAATTACGAAATCTTAACGGGGGGAGAATTTCACAATGACGAACAGAAATAGTAGACTCGGTCGTAGGACGCGGAAAGCGATAATTGACGAGTGACGACCATTATTCGGCGTGGAGCCTGTTCGCGAATGTCGGTTGCTGCGTCCTGCTAAAATAAAAGTGTTACGTGCCGTTCACTGGAAAAAAAAGGAAAAAAACCACAACTAGAGCGCCGCGCCTTTTCTCCTTCCGTTCGCCGCGCAGGAAATAATCTCCCGTCTGAAAACGCGCGAGTCATCGCGGGGCCGCGCGCTTATATTGATAGATCGATCACGATTGTCCCGCAGCGGACACGAAAACGAGCAGCTGCGCGGGACTTAATTGGTCCTTTACGTAACCCTCGCTTTTTCGCTCGCTCATTCGCGCGCGAATCAAAGTCACCTTGTACGCTTCTTTTCCCCCGCGCACCTTACGGAAGACGAAAGAAAACGAAACCTTTCCATCAGAGAAGGAAATTTAAAAAACGATCACCAAGCGCGCGCGATCAATCAGCGCCGAAGACGAAGCGACTTGTATATACTTCGCGCTCCAATTATTCTCCACCCTTTCGTCATTTCTCTAACGCTAATCAAATTTGTAAATAATGATTAAGAGTGGTAAACGCACTTTGCGAACGTTTAAAGAAACGTTTATGAGACTCGTTTGATTACAACTCTGTGGCTCTGTTCTTTGTTCGAGCTGCAGTCGCGACGGCATTTCACAACGCGGAGCAATTAAGTTTCATTAAAGAATATTGGCGGACAGCGAGCGGTTTAATCTAACGCGAACTAGCAGAGTTGCGAAGTATCTATAAATGAATATCGACTTGCGTGATGCTTGATATCACGACGCAGTTTGCATAGGCGCAGACTCGTTTTCAAACATTTCATTATTTTTCTTCTTCTTTTTATTGCAATTTTTCACGAAATATTGCGCAAAGTGTCCTACGACACTCTTGCTGCAATAGCAAGGTTTAATACACAAGGTATGTCGTATTTTAGGGATGACGAATAGGTCGCATATAATTTGCATCTTGCCAACGATTTGCGTCTTGAACAGTTCGGAACTATGCCTTTACAGATCACCTGTCACGCCACACGTGAAACGAGATTTAAGTCCTCTGACTTTACGAGCGAGGTTTTATCTCGTAATAGCGGTATGGGGATAACCGCAACGATAAAATCTGAATGCCACCATTTCACGTCCGAACGTGATTGTACATGACGAATCTTCTTTGCTTGTTCTCGTCACGCCATTTAAATTGATCATTGTGACCGTCGCCGTCGTCGCAAAATCCGCGAGACGGACGTAAATCGTAGAAACTGTCTGACTGTCTCGTTCAACCGTAGCAAATCGCGCGAAAGACTAGCTGTTATTGGTAAAACGCATACTCCCTTGTCTTCGCCAACCGAAGGTTGGCAGCAGTCGGGAGAATAATATACTTACAATTAGAACTAAGAGGTGTTTCATTGAAGACAATGATAACTTAGTTAACAACAATAATGGAAATTAATATTAATCGACTGTTGACGCATAAACGAGTGCTGTGTGTATTGAAAAAGCGCATTCTGAACGTACCTGACTGACAATAAGACTCACGAAGCAACGAACATGCAATCTTCTTGAACCCAGCGTCTTGGACGATCGTCGATTGTCGCCTTTTCCCTCCGCAAAAATCTGCGATCGTTATTATTCTTCTTCAGCAAATGGATCACTTGGTGGTATTTTTATTATGTAACGCGCGGTCCATTCGTCCGCGTGCGCGCGAGAATCCGCGCCGATCGGTACCATTCGCGGCGAGAGGAACAAAACGTGATCGCGGCTCCGTGTGCACTGCAGCCAAGGATCGGGTGAAGGTAATGAAATAGCTAAGTGAAGCGATCGCTGTCTCTCTTTCTCTCTTGTTCTTCCCACGTGCGGCTTCCACCACTCCTCGCACTTCGGGGTTCTCGCGTGGTCGCGTATTTCTCGTCAGCGGCGTTTAAATCCTTTTCGCGGCGCACGTGGCTCGGCGGAAACGCACCTGTCAAACGTACTCTCGGATAACAAGGTCAATTTTAACGATGTAGAATCAGTTCGGGAAGTCTTTGCTTATATCTCTGAAAAATTAATTTCACATTTTCACGTTACTTGCACTTTAAATGCGTACTTTTATACAATATGGATGTGTTACAAGAATTGTGCTCGCAAATTGAGTTGTTTTACTTCATTATTGCGAGGAAGTTGTCGCTGCTGCGCGAGTGCGCTTCTAGATTAGCTTCATCTGTCTACGCGATTAGTATAATGGCCGTGTACCTCTCGTAATAAAGTCAACATTGTCGCAACACCGGTGACCATTGAATTTCTCGCCCATATACATATCAAGATGACATCTTTCGCGTTCGCGTTCCCGATGCGTCGTCGCGATAACAATATATAAGTACAGTTAACTTCATATTCTGGTAAAAGACAATGAACGCTCTAAAATTAAAGTGATAATTAAGATACTCTGATGTGTGTCTCGATATCTTCTTCGTAGCTTTAATTTTATTGTAAAATTTCTTTTGTACAGTACCGTTTATTGAATTAATAAAATAACTTTACTTAGAACATACATTGCGAATACGTCTGAAATTCTATATATATCTTATTTGACGACAACAAAATTTATCAAAACGCAAAATAATTTTCTCTTTATCAAAATTGTTACTAATCGCAGAATTAGCCAATGTGAAAAATTTACGTGTTTCATAAGTAGCAAACTAAAATCTTCTGTGTTTAAACAGATCATAGCTACAAATTCTTACGTGTGTTTTTCTAATGCAGGAAGAATTTTGTTAAGGAACAAAACAGCTTGAGCGAGGTATTTGACATTTGGCATCTAACTGTCTCACAAATCCGGCAATTTCTCGCAAAATCGAGATGAGACTTCTCTTCCTGTCTCTCTTTCTTTCTCTCTTCATTTTCACCGCCGTTAACCCAGAATACACACATCCATCTCCTCCATTATCTACGTTTTTATATACGTACTCTTCTCCTCTCGCCAAACTCGGCAATTCCGGCAACAATGAAGCCGTGGTTTCCCATGAGAAGCGTCTGTGACTCCCGATCTAATTAGTTTGCTCGTCGCGACCTTTTTTTACCTCATTAATGTTAATTTGAAGCAAGTGTGTGCGTTGCGTGTGCATCAGGGTCTTGTTTTCATAAAAGTGTAAAAACTAAAGTGTTTCTGGAATGTGGGATAATCGGGGAGACCGCTACTCGAATTAAAAAACTAAGAATTGAATACATGAACATTAATTAAATTTGGTTTTAATGAATTAAAATATATAAGACAAAAATATATATTTTTTTTAATTTTTGTATTAAGATTATGATTAAAAATTATTAACTCTTGTCCTTTGCAAGGAAACTTTTTACAGCAACAACTTCCATCGTGAAAAGTCTAATAATAATTCTGCACGCATGAAAAGCTACATGCACAGGCAGGATTATTCTTATAAAATAAATAAAACATTAAGTCAAATCTAATAACAGAGAATAAGATGTAGAATGTGGGTCGACACATATCCTTGCGCGCGCGCGGCATTGTTCACATATGCATGCGTTAAACGAGGCGCTATTTTAATTGTTGTCCCGTCTAACGGAATCCCCTTTGAGAAAATAACCGGAAATTGCTCACGTTCGCGCTTACGGGCAAAAGCATCCGTGCTGCATTCGCGACGCATCCTCGGTGCCCTCGACGGATGCCACGATTGCCATGTCGAGGGGACCGACACGACAATGCATTCGTGGACGCATTCCGCGAAACCGTACGGAAATCAGAGCGCGTATCCGTCGGGCGTATCGTCGCGTTGCGCGAATCCCGGCCGCCTAAGCGCGTAAACGCGTAAGCGTAAGTAAGGTAGAAGGTCGGAGGTGAAGCGTCACGCGTCAGTGGATAATTACGGCGGCGAAAGACGGTCCAAGACGACCGCGGACGCGTCAAACGAACGCAAATGGGAGATACGATTGTTAAAGGCCATGCAGTCTACAATGAGTCGTTAGTCGTTAGTCAGATGTCGGAAGAGACTCAAAAAAAAGTCATAAACGTATCGTAAGACGATCGGAAGTCTGTAATCGGCGATCGTAAGCGATTGGCCAAGTGCCATCTTACGATTACAGACTTCCGATTGCCTTACGATACGCTTATGACTATTTCTTCCGACATCTGACTAACGACTAATGACTCATTGTAGACTGGCCATAACTGTCCGCGGTTTGAACGAATGAAGGCTTCAACCTGCTCTCCGTGTCTCCGTCGCGGCGGCGGGCGCGGGCGGACGCTCTCCTTTGTTCTTTTCGTAGCTTTTTCTCTTCAACTCGACGCGAGTTTCCGCGTTTTCCTCCGGTCGTCACGGCTGTCCGACGGACGAGAGGGACGGCTGTCTCGTAGAAGGACAAAAAATCGCGCTGCGAATGACACCACGGATGGACATTACGTTACGTGCGCGAATCGAGATGAGAGACGCGCGAAATAACAGATCATTACGACTCGGCGCGGCGCGAGTGCGTAATGGGCACTTATACTCGCGGTCGTAACTACCACCGAAACACACGACTCTTTTTACCGCGTGTGTTTTATGCGATTAGCTCGCGCACACGACTAAGTAATTTGCGTGTGATCAACGAGTTGTGGTTAATTTGCTTATCGCAATTATCACAGCGAAGCCGAGAAAGCGGCTAATTAAACGTTTGCGGGGTGTCTTTATTTTCTTATTCTCATTCAGAATCTTAAACACGTGAGAGATCGCCGATTTAAAGTTCAAAGAATATAGACCATCCGTTCTTTTCCGTGCAATATTATTTATATTATTTATATAAATTTATATTTATATATTACGAGTACATAGTATCAGTATATTACTACGGCACGCAATTAGAATAATTTGATTCGCGCTTTAATATCTTGACAAAGTAGCTCGACTAGTCTGCTATCGAACGAAAGCGGCGGAGGTGAAACAATAACATGCGGAGCCGCATGGAGTGAAAGCACCTGCTTTGAAAGAACGTGAAAGAAACGCGTACCTGCCAAATTTGGCACGCAAAACCATTCATTCGCGAATCACTCGAGCGTCGCTCAAGTGATCCCCGTATTATTCTCCTCCGCTGATGTATTATTTACAATGCGGAAGTTTTGCGTGAAAAATTTCTACGTCACGTATACGAATCCGCCGAGCTCTTCGTGAGCTTTTCTCCGATTCTGGCGCGTACGAGTCTGATTTGTGTAGACGGAACACGGAGGATCGAGCAGGGCTATTATACGGCGCAGTCCTCCGAGGAACAACTTAACCGGCGGAAACAGTGTCCGAACCATGGGCATCGTAAAGAGGCCAGGCCTCATGAAAAAGAGTCGTTAACTCGAGTAAAGGCCACGACGAAAAAATCGTGCCACTTCTTCAGGTCGCGGCCGGCTGCGGCGGCGCGGCGTGTCGCGTCGCGATGCGGCCGGCCGCGCGGCGATCGGACCGCAACTAGACCGGATAAAAAACCTGGCCGCGAATCGCACACCTTCGTGAACACAAAGACGAGCTCTAAAATTGTTTACTTAAGAACGAATTGCCCCCGGGGTTTCGAAGCGGAACAACTAAGTACGCCTTTTACATTATCGACGTGCCTCGCGCAAATCGCGCGTCCTCGTATTTTGTCAAGACTCGTCAAATCCGAGTGTCGCAAAGAAAGCTGATGACGATCGAGAGATCATATTCTCGTATCGTTTCGCGATAATTATATACAAATGTTGGGGACACACGAAATATATTGCGAAACGGGCGAAACCGAGATGGGAAATGGGAAGGGCTGAAATAGCGGTGACCGGTTTTCGTGCTGGCCGCAACCAGCGAGGTGCGCGGTGCACCTTCGGGCTCGGCTCGAGCTGAAATGGAAAGCGATTTTAAAACCGCCGGGCAATCGCGTTATTACTATCGCCTTTCCCTTCTATCGCCTCGGGTAAGCGAGATATAAATCGCTTGTATGCGCGCGCGATATACCCGGCGGTACCGGCGGCACGTAATTAAGTCTATGTTTTCGATGTAATAAAGAAGCGAGCCTCTTGCAACTTGCGCATATCTTCCACGAAAGTTAGATCGACGATCTAAATTGTCCGAGCAATATGACGTGCTTCGCGTTTTGTAACATTTACCGATAGCATTGGCTTATTATATAATCGACAAATAGGTAGCAATAAATAAACATGCTGTTTTGTAAGCCAAGTTAATAAGTGTTGCTTCAGCCATGATAATTTGTTCCTATGTTGATTAGCGCGATGGTATCTTTATTCTGTATGATACATTACAGAATCGAATTCTGTCTCGTTTCAGGAAGAATACGTTTCTGAGAATATTAGGTGGACGCCAATAGAATATTTCAATAATGCCATCGTGGTGGAGCTTCTCGAGGGCAAGAGGCCACCCGGCCTCTTTTTGGTCCTCGACGACGTGTGCGCAACGTTGCACGGCGGAAGCACGGGTGCCGACGGTGACTTGAAGAAGGTACCCGAAGCGTATTCATAGTTTTATAAATTAACATACGTATGACATATAATAAATTATTGTATCCGTCGCCCAGAAACTGGCGGGAACAGCTAAACAGCACGCTCATTTCCAAGACAGCAGTGACGGTTTCGCAATTCTCCATTACGCCGGCGTAGTATCCTACTCTGTCGATGGGTTCTGCGATAAGAACCGGGACGTCCTCTTCTTGGACCTGATCGAGTTGATGCAGACCAGCACGAAGTAAGCGATTCCGAAGGCCGTTAGCGTACAATTGTCGATTGTCCGCGCGTAACAAATTATTCCGAAAGCGAGTTCTCGCGTAAGTTACCGCTTGACGGGTTGATTAATTAATCCGCGCTCATTTTCCGATTGATTTGGAATATTTGATGATGAGAGCGCGAGATTAAAAGAGGCTGAATAATGTTTCCTGGCTGAATAAAGATAAATAAACCTTATGATGTAACAGTTCTGAAAGTTTTTTTTAAAACTTGCGGTAATTTTGAGGTACTTGATATTAATTGTATTATACATTTTTCGATAATGTAGAACAAATACAGAATAATGTTTTAAGTTGACGTACATAACACTTTTGCAGTCAGCTTCTTGTTCAGCTGCTGAAAATTATTATTTCGTTACGTAAATAATTCCTCGATAATTTAACATAACGATAATTTTCATCACGTAATTCTAACTAATCAATTACACGAGTTTGTTTACGTAAGAACTGCACATGCAAAATTTCACGAAAGTCGCGCGCAAAAACGATACACAGAAATTATAGATTTTCAAGAAAATAAGTCCCAATTACTGACGTGATAAACCTAATTTTTTAAATCTAAGTGTCGTTTATTTTTTTTCCTATAAATATTCTATAAATATATTGAAAATTTTTCTCAGCTACCAGTATTGTTAAAATAACAGTTATACTTATAAAGGTAAAAAAAAATTATTTTATAGTACCTTGGTGCGTGAGCTCTATCCGCAAGAGAATGCCGGCAAAACGAAAACTCTGAAGTCCAGGCCAACCACCGCGGGCAGTAAAATCAGAAATCAAGCCAGTCGCTTGGTCGGTCAGCTGATGAAATGCACACCGCATTACATCCGGTGCATCAAGCCGAATGAAACGAAGAAACCGCGCGATTGGGATCATCTGAGAGTCAAGCATCAGGTATTGCAATTTGTCTAGTGGCATCTGCATTTATATCTACCGTCGAAATTCCTCTACTCAGAAAATCGATGGATAATATCTGTAAAGTCTCAAGCACATAAAGACATAAAGTAAAAAGTGAGAAAACAAAGGAATTCTCTATATACAGTTTGATTTATCTTAGCTTAGCTTGACAATGTGTCATTCCAGCGAAGTATGTCAGACATATATGTTCAGAGCAATTATACGTAACGTTTCTTTCCTTCCTTCTTTGGACAACACTGAAATTTGTTTTGTTCGGAAAAGTCAATATACGGCATAGTTCCCGTAGCTTACGCTAGAATGGTGATTGCTTTAATATGCAGAATTCACGAGTGTTCTGGAAACACAATCGTGTAGGTACGTCGTGCACTTTGATCGATAATCAGTTATCGAATAAAAATCAACTGTTCTACCGCGCTAGTTTCCAAATCAAATCGTCGATATTGTCCATCATAACTAAAGTTACTTAAGGGATGTAAAGTCGATACGTTTGACATATTCACGATTTTTTGGAGTAATCACGCAGCTTTTTGATGAAATATTCTAGGTGGAGTATCTAGGTCTGAAGGAAAATATCAGAGTGCGTAGAGCTGGCTTTGCTTACAGAAGGCCATTCGCCAAGTTTCTGCACAGATACGCGATTCTCACGAAAGAAACGTGGCCTCGTTGGCCCGGTGATGTGAAACAAGGGACAGAGTGGATATTGGGAAGCATTCATATCGACCGATCACAATATCAGCTCGGTAAATCGAAGCTCTTTATAAAGGCGCCTGAAACTGTGAGTTTTCTTCGTCCTGACATATTTGTTATTTTTAACAACGCCATTCGTTGAGTTTTGCCAGCAGATTAATTAGACGATATGTAACTTAGCTCTTCATGCTGGAGGAAACTCGTGAGCGAAAATACAACATGTATGCGCGAGTAATTCAGAAAGCCTTCAAAAAGTACTTCGCCCGGAAGAGACAGGCACAGCATAAACAGGAAGTCGCTGATCTTCTCTTCGGCCACAAGGAGCGAAGACGGGCGAGCCTGAATAGAAATTTTATGGGCGATTATATAGGGCTGGAAGGCAAGCCACAGACGATGAGTTTGATTGGAAGACGGGAGAAAGTATTCTTCGCCGAAGTCGTGAAAAAATATGACAGAAGGTTCAAGGTAAAAACGTTAATTCGTCAACATTTTAAATGTCTTTTAATTTGCGCTCTCCGCAAAAATAATTTTATCATAAGGAAATCTACTTTATGACATCGGACTTTCTTTATTTCTTAACTTAAGATTTAAGCGCTTGTGACAAGTAATTATATATATATATATATATAATAGATATGCAGAAGAGATCTCATTCTTACTGGGAAATGTATCTATTTAATTGGCCGAGAGCAGATAAATAAAGGCCCGGAAAAGGGCAAATCTATCGAAGTTATTAAAAGGAAGCTTCCATTTAATCAAATCAGTCACGTATCATTAAGCAAGCTACAAGTAACTATTATTTTATGACTCTGTATGCTGGCAATGTACTAGCTGGACGCATTTTGACAGTATTTTCCATTCCAGGACAATTTCATAATAATTCACGTAAAAGAGGACTACGCCAGCTTGTTAGAATGTGTATTCAAAACGGAGTTATTGTTTTCCCTTAGCAAAAAGTTTATGGAAGATACCGGTCATCTTTTAAATGTTAGGTTTAGCAACAAGTACGGCTATTTTCCATATATTTTCCATACGTCATTATTAGCATATATAAGACATTATAAGTTTGAAAATAAAACTATTTACTTTTAGCTTGGAATTTAAAGTGAAGAAGGAAGGTTGGGGTGGCGGTGGAACGAGGGATGTAAAGTTTATACAAACGGATTATGGCGATAAAGAGATTTTAAAACCGTCTGGCAAAGTGCTCAGTGTTAACATCGGTCCAGGTTTACCGAACACATCGAGTAAGTTTCAGTCAGTGATCCTCGATAGACGATAATTCTCAATTTTCAATCTTACATGCGGAACTGCAGTCACAATATCAGTTCTGTAATAGTTAAATAACTGAAAACTATATAAATCTGTATCTTTTTTATGTCAGAGCCCAATTTGGACCGATCAATATCATCCATTCGTTTGCACAACAATGTCTCGAGACCGATTTGTCCAGCACCACAAATGTGCAATCTAGCTCCAATCCTCGCACCCCAGAATAATCAAGCGATTATCGGGAGACCTCCTCCTCATCCAGTAGCAGCTACAAGATCTGTGGCGCCTTTACGAACGACTCCAAACGGTAGACCAAATATTCCACCGAATCGTCCAAATGTATTACCTATGCAGGCTATGCAATTTCCAAAGGACGTGAGAAATGGAACAAACAACACAAACAAACTACGGGACAAGCAGACCGCCGTGGGTGGTAATACTAGACCGCGTGGTAAGTTTCGATGAATTTAATTTGAAAAAATATTGAAGAAATGTACAAAAAGCACTATTTGATATCAATATCAGAGATATCAACTTACAAAGTGACAAAGTTTGAGAAATCGTTTATTTAAATAGAATTTTGCTACTCAGAATTTTGCTACTCAGCTCTTCACAGAATGAGTGGACAGCAGCGTATTAAATTTAATAAAGTATAAATTTAAACAAATTTGTACCTTCTCCGTTATTTCTAATTCGCTCGCATTCATTGGCATTATTTTATCATAACGGGTAATATTATTAGCATCTGTAAAAGTTCGCTCAGATATATCTATATCTTTCTTGGATAATTCGAAGGTATACTAAAATTTCCGCCACCACCTACGGAGCCACCACCCATGGAGCCACCACCACCGCACGAGCCTACAGAATTCCAATTACCACCCCTTAACAGAGAATATAATATACCCAGTAAGCAAAATGTTAACAGTATGCGCACAGATTGGCAGCAAATTTGATCAAATTTCATATCAAAACCATAGCCTGCTAACAGGCAATGTAAGTAGATTGGAAATAGAAACCGCGCAGCAACCAACTCTCCACGGTTTCTGCTGTCAATTTGATCATACTGCCTGTTAGCAAGCTTTGTCGCATTTCTGGCAACAGTTTGACAATATCTGATACAGCAGCTATTGTGTGAAATTTGTTGCCTTTCTGACATGAAAAATCAAAAATTTATTGCAAGATCTGCTCGGAATCTGTCTGCGCAGGTTTGACTATCTGGGATGCTGATAAGGTTTCTGATGATCTCAATAAAGGAATGCAAACGTCCCAGGAATGGAGTGCGAAACAAGTCAGTAATACGCCAGATCGAGGAAGGAGGAAGGAAGATAATGCTGCGTATGCGGTAGCCAAAAAAGTGCCTCCTCAAAAACCGGCACCACCGAGATTACCAAAAGTTAAAGCCTTATACGACTATGAGCCGCAAGATTTGGACGAATTGGGGCTCAAGGAAGGTGACATTGTAGAAGTACTCAAAGAACGTAAGTTGTTACAATCTGATTTTGTTTATATGTACCTATAATGATGAGTAGTAATAAATTCAGCAGCGACATACATAAAAAGAGAGCAAAGTTGACTATATATAATTACAAGTATAAAATTTCTTACTGCAATATTTTTTATTCCATTGATACAAAATAGAAATCGTGAATTTGAGTAATATATTTGTCAGAAAAAAACCCATTCATGGCATTAATTCCTTACGTGTTAAAATCAATTGACAATATTTTTTCAGACGAAGGTGGTTGGTGGCACGGAAGACTGAAAGGGAAGACTGGTCTTTTCCCTTCCAACTATGTAGAAAAGATATGAATTCTGTAATCGATAGTCATCGGAAAATTCTATTGACATTACATGAAGCTGGAAACGTAACTCTATTAAGTACATTGTACCTGTTATTCGCAGTTTTCATGCTCCATAATATTACTTATTGTTACGCGAGTCTTTAGCTAAATATTAGCAGAAATTTTATCAATGCCAAAGCTATGAAAAATCAAAGAATTCATAATTGAAAGAAAGCGCGATAATTTTGTTCATCTCAACTAAGATGATGAAAAATCCAATATATATTGGTAGTTATGGAACAATAGTATTATCATTCAAGCTTATTTTTATCTAAATGTCCAAAGAAACTTTTCTCGTCACATAATTCGATAATTAGTCTGGTAAACTTTATTTGATGAAGTATTATTTAGAACAACATGTCGGCAATATACGTTGCTTTTATTGCTAATTAGTGTACGATAGATATATAATCTGTTTAACTTTTCGTAATGTACAGCGCGATCGATATTTATAGTCAAAATATTGTCACGGTTACCACCAATACAAAGGTAACGAGCAGTCATTTAAAACGATACATGGTGTACATAGCATCACTGCCATTACAAGTATCTAATAAAATCATATCATCTCAACAATTTTGTTGCTTCCTTTCAATTTTTACTATCTTATATCTCTTACATAGTACGCTACATTGTATTCTTCAGTATTTAATTATTTATTTATGCAAGATATCAAACGACATAAAGTTCATTTTTATTCCAAGATTAATTCTATTTCTGTAGATACATGATTTTCATTATTATAATAAGAATAAAATGGCACTCTTAGTATCATCAACATCATATTTATTGTTTCCTTCTGCAGTGCTTTATAAGTCTTCCCTTATTAATGGCGAATATTGCATGATACGTTTTATCCTTTGTTCGCTCACATTCTCACATACATTACGGTTAACATTGGCAAAGGAAATAGAACGGTACATCTCCACAAGACTACAGGATTGGCAAGAATGATTATCTTTACAATAATTATCTTTCATATAGTAGTACAGAGTAAAATAAATTAAAATTAACTCAGTGTGCTACAGTTTTATAAACATACAAGTATTCATAGGCACTAGAATAATAAATTATTGCTAAATTATTTGTCGTTTAATCGATAGCCCCTAGTCACGTTTGCCCCTAGACCGCGAGAAATTCAAATACCGTGTTGGAGCCAGTATAATATACATATATATTTAGTTTACAATTGCCTATTTAAATTTTAGAATGCATTGAACCCCGCAATGAGATCGTATAATGAGCGATTCACTCGGTCTAACAGAGCAGAGATCACTTTCCAACTTAGAATATATCTGTTGTTTCTCAACATTCCAATCGTACATATTTCAAGAACTATTTCCTCTTTTGCTAAGGACCAACTTCAGCAATATTCTATGACTCTAGCTTAACGGATTTCTTGCAAGAACGAAAAAAATACATGGAGCAAAGTTACAAGTAAAAATATAAAATTGTTTAAGATGCTATGATACTCGATTTAATTATAGATATATATTACGATGTCAAGAGGAGATAATTCCCCAATGTCCTCATAAGCTTTAATTGCATATACTCTAAATACGTTTCGATAATTATATAATGCTTTTAGGAGGGCGGTTTTATGGTCTGCTTGGAACATATATACACATATATATCCGAATCAATTGTCGTACTGTCCTCTCAATTGTATCGACTTTCCAATGTTTCAAGCATTCGCGCAATGTCTTCGGCGCATTTAATAATAATTATATATAGTTTGTTGGTTTGCGTATATTAACGCAAAATTTATAATTTATTTAAATATAGATTATTCAACAGAGAGACAACATATTTTCAATTTTCGAAGAATAATGCTACATTGAACGATTGTAGGTATAATGGCGTCGACAAACGCATTCATAACTTCTAATCCTTTGTTCGGTGAAAAATTTGGATAACATGCACTATAATTGTCAAGCATAACACACAGAAAACAACTAATCTCCACACATTTCTGTTTTTAACTCTTTATTTCATGAATTTTATCTAAAAATTATGAATTTTCAAAAATTTTTTGTTGTGCTACGGATATTGATAAAACAAATCGATATTTTGAATTAAAATTAGAGTATTTTTTCAATATCTAAATATTAAATTTGTGATTTTATGATAAAATCACAATAAAAGAAAGAAATAACTTTGTCTTGTATTATGAGAGCTAGATGTACATCTGTATCCCATATATTGCTTTCTGCGGGTAAACCCTGCTCTGTATTCTATTCTCCATTTTACGGAGCAACTGTGCTGAAAATGTACTTTTTGTCACAATATTTGTCAACAGTTTCGCATTTGTAGCAGTTATAAAAAGACGATAATTACTTATCAGCCAGTTCACGTTTTCAAACGGAACAACGAATGTAAAATATTCGTTATAATTTTCTGTCTCGAAGATCCGTTAAGCCGAAAAATTATTGAGCGGATGAATTTGTTTCTTTTCATTACATATAATATTTAGTCAAAACACTTAAATATAACGTACCATTTTGTTATAGAAAGTTATAGTTAACATAATATTTTCTTATTACACGCAGATATACCACATATAAGAATTAGTCTTAGTAAAAATTAATCTACGATTTCTTTCAAAATCGCCTACTGTCAATAAAATTATCGGATTTGTTTTTAATGCATTTCCCTGCATTTGTACAAACCCGTCAAGTAGTAGTAGGATGTAAAAAGTATATCAATTCGTTCATATGGCACAAATAGAGTACATGTGAATGCTTGATGGGAACGACCGTTGCGAATACAAAAACTATACATAACGCCGACGTGATCCATTTTCCGCAATAGTTCCATAATTAATTTTCCGTAAATCGATTTGCTTCGATAATGTCGCGAAATATATTTGCTAAATTGCTTTTTACGTATCTCTCACGTGTTCTTGTATAACAACTCACTTTAACTTTCTTTGGCTTTCCGGTATTAAATCTCTTAGCAATTAAGCCATAAAATAAATTTTTCGTATAAATCAAATGCCTAAAGTTCATTTCCGAGAAAAAGAACTGTATTCAATTTATATTCTCTTGAACCAACTACTAATTTATATATAAACAAAATCTTTTAAAATATATAACACTAAATAGCTTTGTAATTAGATCTTTATATCTCATCAAAACATATTCTTATCACTAATTTCCATTCTTTCCGAGCTCCTGTCTATTTGCGTTCACTCTTATCTTGCTAACGCCTCGTATTGTATTCAAAAAAGAAAAATTATATCTCTTTCGTCTGCTTACTGATTGTAAACTGTTCTACACGATTTCTCACTCCATAGCACTTGTCGTTTCATATACATATTTGCGCACAGTCCTATTAACGCGCAATATTTCACTTGAAGCATAAAATGTTTATATTACACAATGGATATAGTGTTCGATAATATACAAAAAAACATTCAATCATTATTTGATAATTCGACGTTTTCCGATTTCTTTTCTTCTTTCATTGATCAATAAGCTTATATTAAAAACAAAGAAAACGAGAAATTTGTTTAATTTACCTTATAATAAATTAATCTACAATGCATAATAAAAAAGAGTCTCTAAAAATAATCTAATCGTAAACTATGAAATGTCACACTTAACTCTCCAACATCTAATTTTGTCGACTTTTTGGCAACACCACAGCAACATGGGTCATGCCTGCAAAAAAAAATTCGTACGTTTGATTATTACTATTTCTTAAAAAAGGATTTTGGGAAATAGAAGACTCAGATGAGTAAATTAGGAAGATCACTGTAAATTGTCTCGTATTAAAAACTAATCTGCTTTAATCAGAAAGCTATTTAATAATAAAAGTAAAGAAATTTAATAAAACTTTAATAAATTAAAGATTAAAAAATTAAATTTTTTAAATTTATTTAATAGCAAAATTAATTACCAAAATTAATGAAAAGATAGGTAGAACATGAATAATCTTATACAAATAATAAATTGGATTGTATTTATTATCGATTTTTCATTTTTTTAAAATATGCTATATAATATACATAATTTACCTTCACAAGTTGAAAAAAACGCGATAGATAACTAACTCCTCATTGCACAACGCAATTTTTGTTTCGTTGAGCTAATCCAGCGCGAGATAAATCGCGCTCTATCTCGTCATCATCCTCAATGCTAAAATTTATTTGAAAAAAAACAAAATTTAATGACTTTAGATAAGTAATAACGTAACACATATCTATTATTATACACTTACGCTCTCTCTTGTGTATCGAGATGATGCACCAATTCATCCCTTTTGTTCACAATGGACACTAATTCCTCTAATAGTAAGTTTTCGCGCATTTTTTGCTCGGGTGTTTTCCGCCAATCTTCCACCGCGAGGATGCTTCTTAATTCATGATTCAAGAGTTCAAATCTTCGCTCTAAATCGTCTTCTTTTTCCCTAAAGATAAAAAGCTCTATTTAAAGTCCAATTATTTAGATTTTATATTATTATAATCATCCTATCCAATTTTTAATCGAAATTAAAAATACATAAAGTATATTATGTTTGAATCAATGAATCACTTACAATATGTTTAATTGCATTTGTCTTCTTAAGAGCGCATTTTTTTTGTTAACAAGTGTGAACCACAGAGACATCAGTCTTTCCGTTTCGTCTTCGTCATCGCTCTCCATGGCTGCTCTCAATTGCTTTTCAAGCTTACCAGCTTGTATGTCAATCTGATTCTGCTCTCTTTCAAGTGCTTCGAGCTCGTTTTGAATATATGATGTCATGTCTTTACCCAACTAAAATATCAAATTACAATAAAAGATAATTAAACATTGAAACTCGATAAATATAAGCAATTCAGTATATACAAATTGTTTCAAGTACTGTATATTCACAACTTCTTTAATTATATACCGGAGTCAAATTAATAATTCAAGTTAACATACCCCGCGAAGTGTGTATGGAGTTCTGTCGGGACTGCCTTTATCGGGTGAGATTCTTTCAATGATTTTGGAGAAGGAATATAAAGGCGAACCAGTTTTCTTCTCTCCATCTATCACACTCGAGTTCCCCAATATATTTCCATTGTACTCAGACTAAAAAAATTAGTTATAATTTTTCGTTGTTATATAATTAAGTAAAAACAAGATATCGAAAAAGTAGATAATATCGCATGGACTATTTACAGTACCTTTATACTGATCCGATCACCGGGTGTCGATGGCGTAATGCTGCGTCTAGGACTATTATTCTGATCGTCTATCGATCGTCTATCACTGTTGTTATCATCACTCAGTTGACTCGGAGTCACAGCGACGCCCATTTTCACTTCCGCAATCAAACGTCTCGCCCTTTCTCGCAACTGCTGTTGCCTCTCGTCGTCGTTCTGTATCTGCAAAGTATGTTACACATACATAGATGTCCACAATATCATATTCCTCGAGAAATGCTCGATTGATAGAAAATTCTTTAACACTATGTAAATAAAAATGTAGAACCTCGACAGGACTGATCGCGGCGGAAACAAACCCGGCTGGCTTCGTCTGGTTTCTGGCTTGTTCTAAGAGTTGCCTCGCTCGTTCTCGTAATTCATCGTGCCGACTAACTAATGGCTAATACAAAAAGATAATAGAAACGATTAGCTTGACTATTGAACATTTATAAAATTTTCGTTTATTTGTTTTAAATAACTTTGGTTTTGTTAAGATATTGATATGGCATGACGTTATTAGCAAGCGATATTAAAAGCAGATATTGTTAATTACATGTTGTGAACGTTGTTCTCCATACGGCGGCGATGCACCTTGACATTCGGAA